AATAATTGCCTATATTTCTAAAACAAAAGGTCCTCGCAAAAAAAAAGTGGGCAGGCCATGGCTCCCTTGACGGCCATGTATGCTTCGCTTGAATATACCAACATTTCCTAGGTATAAACTACTGCCAGAATGCAAAAAAATTCTAAAAAAATGGTTAAGAAGGATTTTTAGGGATACCTACATAGAAAATAAAGATATTTATTTATCTGGAAAACAGAACAACTGTGAAAAAGCCAAATATTTTTTATATTGACAAAGATTATTGATTTAAAAATTAAGATAAGTTAACTAAGATATCTGACCACTACAAAGTTTGGAGGGCCAATCGGAGGAAAATTACTCTAACTGAATAACTAATTAGGTTGAAGGGTTGTTTTGAAATAAAACAACCCGTGTGACAAGTATCATTAGTTTAATAAGTGTGACAATTATCAATAATGTAATTTCCTAACAAGTAAATAGTTTAAACAATTGTTTCCTGGTGAGGAAAGAACTATTCAAGAATTATTTCCTTGTAATTTAATATTACCTCAATTAAATCAAGTAAATATTTCCATTATTTTACTGTTTTTAATTAATAATATGTGTTACTATGTTATGTGGATTGTTATCAAATATAAATTTAGGTCAAATTTTGTAAAAGGCAGAGTTTGATTTAGTGAAGTCAAATTTAGTGAATTGCCACGATTCCAAATCAAGCAAAGAATCATGATGAAAATTGAAAGTTTTTGTGCTTGCTATGTTTGAAAAAATGTTTAAGACAGCTTACTACTTTTCAAGCAGATCAAATATGCCAACTGTACAAGACCAAGATCGATATCAGTGATACTCGGGTACCAAAAGGATTCTGTAAATCATGTAGAATTACTTTGCGCAAGAAACAAGAGGAGAAAGAAGTTGCACTCCCTCCTTTGTTTGATTTTAAGTCAATACAAGTGAGACCTGAAACAAGAGGCACAATGTGTTGTTGCCTAATATGCCAAATTTGTCGTTCAAAGCATACTCTTATAGAGCAAACCCCTTTTGAGAAAAAACCAAAGGTGCGTTGCAGCAAATGCCTCAGCCTTTTAGGAAAAGGTTTGCCCCACCAATGCCCTCAAATAATGTTAAGGGAAAACATTCAATCTTTAGCAGCAATAAACAAGAAATAACACTAGATAGAAGTATAGTTTTGACAAGTTTCTAATTTCTTTAAAAACGAATAATTTAAATGTTTTGCACAAACTTACTAAACAAAGTTTATTGTAACTACAAAATATGTATGTTTTGGTTTTAGGTCAAACTAGTACGCAGACACCATCAAGCGCTCCAAAATTGACCACTGTAGCCCTTGTAAATGTGCAATTAAATACGGGCCTGTCAAACAACGGATTAAAGAAACTTGTTAAAACTATAAGCAAAACATCAAGCAGCAAGATGGTAGAGCGAAATTTCTACATGAATTTTCTAAGACTAGGTCGACAATTGAGCGATTCCTTCACCTGCAGCGACTTAAAAATCACAGACGAAAAAACAGATTCTTGTACAGTTCATGTTGTTGCTCACTGCAATGATTTATCAAGTCTTGTGAATCATGTTATTCAGTCCCGCAAAATTTCTGATGGCTATTTTGTTAAGCTCGGAATTGATGGTGACAAAGGTTTTCTCAAGTTTTGCCTAAGCATTGTTAATAATGCGTTAAGAGATGAAACCAGCTCACCGCGCCAACAACAACCTCTCACTCAAAGGACTGGTAAAGACACTGGAGTCAAGAGACAAATTATTGTTGGGGTTTCAGAAGATTTGCCAGAAACACACTCCACTATTGAACAAATCTGATCACTGATTAATGCAAATGGAGTTAAACTAATTTTGGCTTGTGATATGAAAGTTGCAAATATAATTTGTGGTCTTCAAACTCATTCAAGTACGCACCCTTGCACCTGGTGTGATGTCAAATTCAATTGTCTTGCCAAATATGGAAACTTGCGAACACTGGGCTCAATTAATTCAAGCCTTGAGTCTTTTCAGCAATCTGGAGGGGTTGTTGCTAATGCAAAGCTGTTTGGCAATGTCATTCGAAAACCAATTATCTGCGGGCCTGTCAATGTTCTAATTTTGGAAATCATTTCACCGATAGAATTAGGAGTTGTCAACCATCTTTTTAAGATCCTTAAAACTGCTTAGATAGAAACTGTTAAGTAGCCAGCCGCCCTCCACATTCAACTGAGCCCGTATCACGGGGGTCAGTTTGAGGAAAATGAATGCAGGAAGCTTCTTAAAAATGTGGATATGCTGCAGCAACTTACTGAGACAAACATAGTTTCCAATATTGTGTGCATAATTGAAGCATTTAAAAGCTTCAATTTAGTTGTCAAGGCTTGCTTTGGATACATCCTTCAGCCGGATTTCGCTGAAAAAATTGAAAATTTCAAAAAGTGTTACCTAATGATAACTGGTGCAAGCGTAACACCCAAAATTCACGCCGTCTTCTACCAAATCAAGGATTTCATCAGTCACAAAGGATCCCCCTCGGGACCCTATAGTAAACAAACTGTCGAAACTTCTCATCAAGATTTTTATCAACAATGGTCGAAGTATAAGCGAAATAATAATCATCCAGTGTAAAGAGAAAAATTGTTGCGCTGCATAATTGATATAAACATTAAGCATGTTTAAAGAACATCATTTGAGTTATTAGAAAGAAGGCTGCTGAAATTCATATTTTACGGCGTATAATGAATATTTTCACCATCTTTAAAAGTAGTATTATAAAGTATTTGTATTAAAAGAGTACATTGAGCTATTTATTAATAATCTTTTGGTGGAGAAAATCAAAAAAACATTTCTTAAAATGTAATTAGATATTTGATGGTAATACAATGTAAAAAATAGGGTTTAAATAGTTTTCACTTCATTTTAAAAGTAAATGTATTTAAGGAGGTCAATACAAAATATTTTAGGAGATCTACTTTTTTTTTATTTTACTAACTGGTAGTCCTTTGACTAGGTTTTGCACTTTTTTTTAGCCTTTTTTTTTTTTTGGCAGCAGTTTATACCTTAGGAAATGTTGGTATATTCAAGCGAAGCATACATGGCCGTCAACGCCGGGGAGGCTAGAGGGTCATGTCCTTCTCGGCTTTTTTTTTGCGAGGATTTTTTGTTTTAGAAATATAGGCAATTGTTTTAGAAATTATGGATTTTATTTTAGAAATTGAGGGGTTGACCCCCTCCACATTGAAGGCCGTGTAGCATAAGACAATTTAAATCACACTTTAAGTAGCAAATTGCTATTTTGGTTTATAAAAAGAAAACTGTACATGTACCGATAAAATAATTATAACAAAAATTGTTGGTATTACATTGTAGAACACCCATGTAACCGTTATTTTAAAAAAAGTGACCGAATTTCAAAGTAATTGGTAACGCTTTGAGGTATAAATAGCAAAAAACTGACAAAACTTTAACTAAAACTGCAATGAATCCTACACCAGTCATCCAATCAGGCTGAAATTTTGTCCAGAATTCGGTGTGACTATTGGCTACATTTCCACCAATTTTTATCAAATTGTATTGAGTGGTTCAAATTCTACAAGTGTTTTTATTGGCGCATTATGAAGTCAAAATTTGACTTAATTTCAACATTCAAATTAAATTATTTTCCGCGGACAAAATAAAATGATTTCAAAATTTGCATCACAGGGTACCTTTATGTGTACGCTAACTTTTCGTATAAGTGGCGTTCTTGGAACAGCTAGGTAGGCATTATAAGGATCCGTGCTAACCGTGTGCAAACAGAATATATCCATATTTTTTATTTAGGCACGCATATTTTTGATATACCTAGTTTTAGTTTTAGTCGTATTTAAAAAAAAATTAATACGTTTTTAAAAAACATAAAATGTTTAAATTGTTTTAAAATCATTTTCTTAATTATATTGCTTAAAATTTTATTTAAAAGAGTGTTAAAAAAATCTTTTAATAACAAACAACGTAAAAACTTCATTTTCTCAATTTTAAAATGTGCATATAAACTTATTATGTTTGTTAATGACACTTTAATTTTATCAATTCGTTTTCTAATAAACTTGTCTTAATTTTTTTTTTTTTAGATGTTGAATTATTTTAATTTTCCGCATTATCGTACCAAAATTACCATATTTGGTTGCTGATTTTTTTTTGGAATATTTCGTAATACTTATATTTCATAAAAGTTTATTAGTATATTTCATAAAAATTCCTAAAGTTTTTTTGTTATTTTCTTAAAATTTTTTTAAAGAAAACTAAAATATCTGACCAACAGTAAATTGAAAATGTCAATTCTCTTTCTAAAATAATTTAGTTTGTGCATTTAAATTCTTAATGAAAATAATATTTTACTTTTTTTTTTATTTGAACATTTTTTAGAGGTCATCTGAAAGATAATAAAGAATAAATAAATAAATAAAACTGCAGCGCTGCAGTGCTATTTTTCATTGCAACAATATACTTTATTATTTATTAGTGCATACATATATATATATATATATATATATATATATATATATATATATATATATATATATATATATATATATATATATATATATATATGTATATATATATATATATATATATATATATATATATATATATATATATATATATATGTATGTATATATATATATATATATATATATATATATATATATATATATATATATATATATATATGTATATGTATATTGCATATATATAATATATATATATATAGTATGTATAGTATATATAATATATAAATATATAATATATAAATAAAATATATACATATATAATATATAAATAAAATATATACATATATAATATATACATATATATATATATATATATATATATATATATATATATGTATATATATATATTTATATATATATATATATATATATATATATATATATATATATATATATATATATATATATATATATATATATATATATATATATATATATATATATATATATATATATATATATATATAGATTGATTCAATTACGGAGTTCTGGGTATGGGCTTGCAATACTTTTGCTCGTGGTTTGTATGGAGAAAAAGAAGGTTTTATTTTAAACAAAGTAACTTGGCTAATGGGTTCAGCTCGGATTCATCAGCTACGTACAAAGAGATGTTGATTTTTTTTATTTTTCCAATTTTTATTTTTTTTGTTTTGTTTCAAGTTTTGTAGTTGCAATTACCGAGTACAAAATTTTTTTTTAGCTACATGCTTGGATACTGTTCGTTCCTATTTTAAAGATTTAAGGTGCAGTTACCCTTATACTAGTGAATTTGAAGATAAGACTCCGCAGTATTGTGAAGGCTGGAAACAATGCCTTCAAAATAAATCAGCTTACTATCCAAATTATTGGCAATACCATAATTATGCAAAGCTTGGTAGTTATAAAACGTCAGGTCGTTTTGCTACCTATTCCAACGGAGGATACTTTGTTGTAATTCAAAACAGTAGTTATGTAGCATCTAATGTTTTTAGCTACCTTCGCAATAACACTTGGCTTGATGAATTGACCCGAGCCGCAATTGTTCAATTTACGGTATATAACACTCAGGAAAACTTTTATGTAATAGTAGAAATGATATTTGAATTGACCACCACGGGTGGAGTTTTTACGTCGTCTAACTTTCAAGCAACTCGTCTAGATAATTATACGTCTGGATTTTTTGTTTTTATAGGAGCATGTGAATTTTTGTTTGTGATTTTTACGATTAGTTATTTGTGTATAGAAATAAAGAAGATAACTATATTAAAATGGGTTTATTTTAAAGATTGGAGAAATTGGCTTGACCTATCTTGCTTTAGCTTGGTATTCTTAGCAGTGGTTTTTTATATAATCCGATACATTCTAGTTAACGAGGCAAAAAAGCAATACTTTGAATATATAGAGATTTACGTAAACTTTAGTGATGCTGCTTATTATGATGCAATTTACGGAAACGTGATTGCCACCGTTTCTAGCGTCATTGTACTGAAATTTCTAAAATTGCTACGTTTCAATAAAAGAATGTCGTTATTAATACGAACTCTGTGGTATGCAAGTAAACCGTTACTCTATTTTTCTATACCTTTTTCAATATTTTTTTTCGCTAACTTACAGTTTTCTTATTTGATCTTTGTTACTAAGTTGAAAACATTCTCTTCGTTGTTAAGCTCGTGTTTTTCATTGATAAATATCATCTTGGGAAATTTTCGATTTCGAACAGTTGTTAATGCTGAATATATTTATGGCCCAATATTTATTGTGTCTTATGCATTTGTTGTGTTCTTTATATTAATAAAAGTATTTATATCAATTATCCTTGATGCATTCTCGTCTGTTCAGAAAGAGTTGCGTGAGAAAGAAAACAAATACGATTTGTTGGAGTTTGTTTCCCGCCGAATTCGTAACTTTTTACCTTGCATTGAAGGCAATGCAAGCTGTAAAACCTCTAAAAATGTCATTAGCGCAGCCTCTAAATTAGAAACAGTTACTGCACAATTTGATACATTCACTTGTAACATGAAAAATACTTCGGTTAACTATTCAAGTGATCCAAAAGTCTTGGAAAACACCATAAAAGACTATAAAATAGTTGTAAAACCGCAAACACATAAAAACTTAAATTTTGATGACACATCCTTCAGCACAATTTCAATATCTTTTTCTGGAGAGTTGAGTTTTAATAAAAAAAGTGATAAGTTTTTAAACACTTTAGAAAATCTCCTCGAGTATATCAATTATATGCTTTATGAAGAAGAACTTGAAAGCGAAATATATGAAAGTCTAATTAATTTTTATAAAAAAAGAAAGGAAATAGTAACACCGGTTATACTAACCTGATAAATGCATATAAATTAGTTAATCGAAGATGTCTAAGAGTCTTTCTTATATATATAGTCTGGATTACATAGGACGAGTTTCGAGTTGAAATTGTATTCAAAAAAGGTTCGTGACACGCAGTTTGCTAGATGTTGCTGGGTTTTTTTTTATTTATTTGTATTGCAATTAATATCAACTAAAATTTTTATTGCGAATGCTTTTTCTCTTAATATATAATTGCTCCCATAAGTACAATCAGTTTTGTTTTGTTTTTAATCCTTTAAAAGTTCACTTGTGTTTTTAATTAATTTTTTTTTGTTGTTGTTTAATAACTCTAAGTTGTTGGAATATACTAAATAAATAACGCTGTGAAGTCATATAATGTAAGATAAATTATTTATGGGCTTAATAGAAAAACGTTTTATTTTGCTGATTTTTTTGTATTTGAAATGATAAAAAAAATTGAATGATTTTTGTTAAAAAATCGACGTTTAGAGATGGTTTTTTAAAACAATTTTTTTTTATAAACATTTAAAATGCTAATGGTAAAAATGTGCAAAAATTATTAAATAAAATAAAGATGGATGTTTTGATAAAATGGGAAAGTAAAGAAACATGCGAATCAGTGATTTGTCAGTTACTCATCTCAAAAGCCGGGTCGGTTCATAGTGATCCTTTTTTAAACGCAGAAAAAAGTTCAGATCAAGAATTGCATAAATTTGACTTAATCAAAACATCAGAAAGACTTTTTATGAGAAGTTTATATTTGCCTTTAGGCCTGTATCACTTTATATTCCTAATAGCCTCTTCAGACACGATTAAAATGGATGTAAGCTACTATCACAATATTACAGTTCTTGGTTCAGGAAGGTCGGTCAATTATATTGACGTTGGAGCGGCATCTCCGGTGTCAAGCACCAACTCATTCTCAGATTGTAAGAATTTATTTTTAATACATATACGGATGTAAGGTTTGCAGTTTATATATGTTTTTATAGATAAGTACCGTTTAAGATTTATATATGATTATATAGATAGAGAGATATAGCCTCATATTCTCAGTTAACATTTCTTAGCAATTATACATTGGATCTCAACTTCTTTAACAAAAACGGCAATATAGGGTGATACCCCTATAGTCGACGTTTTTCCCTGATGGTTAAATATTTTTGTTTTATATTAAAGTTCTCTAAAGTATTTTATATCAAAATTATTTTCGTCTAATTATGCTAGGTAAAGATTTTTCGTCATTGGTTTGTGTAAAACTACGATCATTCATAATCCTCAGAGTCACCACTCATAGTTTAGCCAGAATATCATAAAGTCTTTTATGCAACTATCTTAAGTTTTATATTTTAGATCAAGTATTTTGATCCTTGAAAAGTAAACAATTCCCTTCTAATATTTATTGCTTGAAACTACTTTAAGTAGAATTGTTTGGTTTTAAAAAATTTTTTATGATTTGAAATAAAATTGTTTATGATTTGTTATGAAAATTGATTATGTTTGTTATATATAGGCGGGCATTTATTAAATTTTTAGCAAAGTAGACATTTGTCTAGACCGGCTGGAAATATCAAATGAAATCAGTTTTTTGTTTTTTTTTTTTTTAAATCAGTTTTTTTTTTTTAAAGAAATTTTTTTAAATGCAACATTAAAATTAATTTTAAAACTGGAAAAAAAATCCACACTGAAGTTTTCAAACTAGTAATGGAGGATTGAGGTTTCTAAGTTGATATGTTTCTTAAATGACAGGTCTGTCTGCATATCTCTATGTTATCTTCTTAACTCGATCCGGCTTATGTTTCTTTTTAGTGAGCTGAACTTAGCGGACCTTGGTATGTGGCCTATAAATGGTAATTTGTCGGAGAAGGATAATCCAAAAATCCAGCGAAAATCAGTAATTGTTATTTTATTGTAATGAGTTTTTTTTTTTATTTTGAGTAATAACAAACTGATAAGATATTTCTAACAAATATTTGATATTAAAAACATGTTATCGCCATATTTAAAAAAACGATCTTAATTAAGATTAGGACCTTTAAAAAAACATACAAATAATATTGCATAATTAATATTGATTTTAAAATCTTTTAACAAATCTGTTAAACAAAAAAATAGATAAAAAACTGAAAAACAATTAAGTTTGTATAAACAAAATAACCCCCGCCTCTTTTATCGAATAATAACATTTTTCTTTGTTTGTATAAAAGTAATTAAAATTTGCTCAAATTCTCTTTTTTTTTCATGTAAAAATATTATAAATATCTAAATGATAATTACTAATTACATTAAAATTAGTAATTATCATTGGAAAATCTCTAAAACCATCTTAATAGAATTTTTAAAATCATATTCTTAGACCATCTTGAAGGATTATCTTTTAAGATAATCTTAAGCCGTTATTAAATCTGCTTCAAAGATCATTTTAACCCCTTGTTGTCCTAAAGAATGGCCTGTCACCTGTTATTGTGTTGAATATTTAACTTTTATGTAAAGTGTAAATTTGTACTGTAATCCATTAAGGATTTAAATTATAAGCATAAAGAATCTCGATCAAAATGAGTTAAGTTTCATCGACCATAACTTCAGTTCAGATTAGTAAATAGAACGTTTCAAGTCTTTTTATTATTTATTTGCTTAACTTTGCAACATGCGAAGGCAAAGCGAGACACCAGGAAAAGTGAGACTAAGCTTTTCTTGACTTGTGCAGAATTTTTTAGTTGTGGTTTTTTTTTTTTTTTTAATTTTTTCTCTTGTAAAATGACTTTTTGTGCTTTAAAGTGATTTCAATGATGTTTGCTAAAATTTTAAAAATAGACCTAATGTTTACAAGGTACATCAATTTGATAAAAACTTAAATAAAAAACAAATTTCTGGAAAAAGCTCACGCATCCTGTTATTTTTATATGCAAAATAAATACTAAACAGATACATACAGATAGTTACAAAATACTATACAGATATTTTTAATTATTTGTTTGTGATCTTTCGGATAACATTCTTTTTATATAAAAATGTTACAAAATTTCATAGATATTTAAACAAAAAATTATTTAACATTTTACAGGAAAATTGCAACAACTTTCTACTGAAAAAGGTCGTCAAAAAAGTAAGCTTACTAAAAAGTAAGCAAAAAAGTAAGGTTCACAAAATCGTAATTTTTTAAAACTTTTTCTAAACCCTTTTAATTATCATGACTTTTTGAAAAAATTACCTGTTACAAAAATATAACATGTCAAAGTAAAGCAATCAATAAAAACTTGAAAAATTAAAATTTAACATAATTAACATAATTAAAACGTATTAATTAACATAGTTGAAACGTATAGGGGAAAGGCACCTATGATGACATACTTAACTTTGAAGCTTCATTATTCAGTATCCTGAAGAACAATAACTAAAGTTTTGATATGGATATATTCCTTATTACAAGTAGAACAACAATAACCCTCGGATTTTTTATCAGTTTTTTTTTTTTTTTATAAGTTATTCCTATTTTTAAAAAAAGCATAAGTATGCCATCATAGGCAACCACTTCTCCTATGATGGCATAGAGGAGGATAGGCTGGTTAGGGTCAAGTGTAACTTGATGATTTCATTCAACCTTAGAGTCTTCCCTCAGAAATGCCAGAAATTACTCGTAACCATCCTAATTTACCATTTCATGCTACACAGCAGCATTGTAAAGTTTCGCACATGCGCATAGGATATATTGCGTTTTATGCATTTTTTGGACCTAAAAAAAACTTTTGGAGCATCGTTTTTATTTTACTTTACTTAAAAATAAGTTTTTCTTATAAAAAAAAAAAGGTTTCCCGAAATCGCCAATATTGCGACACACTCAACTCGTCAGTATGCCATCACAGGAAGAAGTCATCTTTTTCATTAAAACAAACTGTGTCTGCCTTATTCAAAAAATAAAAATAGTAAAAAAAATAAAATTAATGTGAGTATTCCACTAATTACACAAAACTTGGATATAAAATGCATGAAAATTCCCTTTCTGCACAGTCAATAATAAAATCACAATCCTAAATATATGAAAGGAATAAAACAACAAAATCGATTTTTGCTGATTATAAAAACAATAATTGTGCGCAAGGGACGTATTTTCCTAAAACTAATGTAAAGTCAGTTTATTCATGTAGATCTTATCAGTTTTTCACAAAAACAAATTTTTATGGAAATATGACATCTTAGGCGCTATGCCATCATAGGCGCCTTTCCCCTAATTGCTGCTATATTTAACGACTTGTTTAAATAATCTTGACATATATTTTTTATGTAAGTAAATCAACACACAAGTAATTTTTTTTTTTTCATAAAACGGTGTAAAATTCTTTACACCGTTATATTAAAAAGTGGTATACACGTCATCTTACTTGTTAGATTTAGAAATGTGTTTTTCAACAAACAAAAGTAATATTTTAAAAAGACATGAAGTTAAAACAACATGGTTAACATACACTATATACCAGGATAACTTCTGTTTTTTTCAATCAAATTCTTAGATGTTAAAATTTCCATAGCAACACAATATGTATGAATGATTGTAAATAATATGTCAAGGTGAGTTTCCATTATCTGTTTCTTCACGGGAACGAGAAAGGAAAAATAATCAAGTGAGCGTGCGTAGTTTTTCGTTCGGACAAATTAAAACTTGTACTACGCATGCCCCGAGATTTTTTTTTTTTTTTCTGATTAACATTGTATAATATTATTACAATGCACGTATACATATGGAATCTCATAAAATAAAATATAAAAGTATATACATTACAACAAAATTAAGTTAAATCAGATAGGGGCTCAAAGAAGATAAGGATAACATTACGTTATCGCAATCTTTTCATAGAACCCCTAGATACAAGTTTAAATAATACAACGTAAGAATAAATAGCTCGTATAAAAATATAATAATAACAATGTTATAATTAAAAAGTCAAGACAAGGTTAAATTAATCAAAAAAGTAAAAAGAAAAAACTTTATCTTAAGTTCAAATTTTAAAATATTCTCTTTTTAATTGAAACTTAAATGAATTTAAAGACTTCACCATAAATTTAAATTCCTTTTGACAGTCATTCCATAATTTAGGTCCTCGATAAGATATACAAAATTCTGAGAGTTTATTACATTTCCGAGGCAATTTAAAGTTTTTATTTCTATTTGATCTTAGACCATACTTTTCATTTGAATTTATTTCAAACTTATCTTTGAAGTTTGCTGGCAAGAGGTTGTTATAGTATCTATACATAAAAATTAGATGCTGATAAATATTTATTTCAAATATATCCATCATTTTCATATCTCATATAAGAGGTTTTGCATGTTCACGTTTATGTTTACAGTATACAATACGGCAAGCATGTTTTTGGAGCCTATAAATTTTTTGACGTTTTGAAGTTTGCGTACTTGCCCATGATATATTTGCATAATTAATAAAACAGTGTATCAGTCCAAAGTATATTAATTTGAGACTTAACATATTGACGTATGGTCACACCCTATACATTACCCCAATAGTTTTGGTAACTTTTGAATGTATGTAATTTATATGGGGAAGCCAGGATAAATTTTCATCGACAAGGATTCCGAGGAATTTTATACTTGCTTGCTTTTTAATTATTGTATCATTTAAGTACAGTTCGAGCAATTTAAGAGGAATGTTAAATTCTTGTGTTTTTTTATGGAATAGGGTATAGTTGGTTTTCTCAACATTAAGTGTGAGTTTGTTAGCTTTAAACCAACTATTTACTTTATTCAATTCTATGTTCATATCTGTATAAAGATGTTTAAAGATGTATAAAGATGTTTAATATGATTATTGGTAAGAAATAAATTAGTATCGTCTGCAAACATTATTGAGTTCAGTTTTAATGATGCATTACAAAAGTCGTTAATATAGATTAAGAATAAGAGCGGACCAAGGATTAATCCTTGTGGAACTCCGCAAACGACATTTAATATTCCGGATTGCACATTATGAACATATTGCTTTCTATCAGTAAGAAAACTTTTAAACCAGAAATAGGTTGTATTAATTATACCATAATGCTTAATTTTTTGTAAGAGAATGCAATGGTCGACTGTGTCGAATGCTTTAGATAGATCTATAAATACTCCTAAAGTAAATTTGTAATTGTTTTCCTTTCCTTTCCCGTTTCCGCGAAGGATGAGTGAAACTCACTATTTATAGTAATATTGTTAATAAAAAATGTAATACAGATTCATAAATATACAACAAAAAACTCTATAATAGGTTGCTTTTTTTTATTACTGTTTTTAATCATGTCAATTAAATCTTCCAACGTTAAATAAAAAGCAGCAACTTCAATTCAAAAACGTTAATAAACTCTTCAACGTTTAAAAGAGTTTTTAAATCAAGAATTAAACATGTTACTATTAATTTAACGATGGAAAACACTCAATACTCTGCTTTTTTAAAGACTGTGATATTATATAAATAGTTATGCAATAAAGATAATATGAAAAATAATAAAGTAACTCATAAAATTCAAAAAATATTCACATAACTACTCATGTGACTCATAGCTAATTATTATAATTATTATGTGACTCATAGCTAATTACGTGACTATAACTACTCACGCAACAAGACGAAAATAAAGAATATAAAAATATTTCAATCTCTTTCCTAATTTATTTTTCTAATATACATTAGCTAAGTACATCAAGTGGTTTTAGGTAAAATTTTACTTTTAACCACTTCTTTGTGGCCAACATCCTGTTTTATCTTTGAGATAAAACCTTTTTAACTTCATTATGTTACCATTAAATACCAATAGAGGTCGTCCATAAAATATCACTCGCAGATCTTTAATTAAACCAAAACTCAAATTAGTTCTTTATATTCAATGAAAATCGCTGCGCAAAAGTGCAAATGATTTCCTACTTCTATTTTTTTAATAAGATTGCGTAATTTATGGACATCCCATACCTATTGTCTATAAAGGCGAGTTTCCACTCATTTGTTTTTTCACGGGAACGAAGAGACGGGAAAAATAATCACGTGGGCATGCGTAGTATAAGTTTTAATATGTCCAAAGGAAAACTACGCATGCTCACGTGATTATTTTTCCCTTCCATATCCTTTTCCCGTGAAAAAACGGGTAAGTGGAAACGCACCTTAATAGTACAAACTTGCCAAATGGAAAACTGTCAAAAGTAAAACAGGTTTGTTCCATGTTTGAAAACTAATTTTTTGTCTTTTATTTAAGAAACATTTTTTTAATCCTTATATTATAAGTTAAGGAATGTTTATTAATGTACTATTGATATCGCTATTTATATTATTATCAAATATTTGATAATAAATATTTAAATATTTAAATATATTTGATAACAAATATTTAAATATTTTGTTTATTTTACATTATTTGATATTATTTCAAGTTTGTAAAAAATATATTTTTAAAATTATTTTTAACTAAAGCCAGAAATATTTTTTATAAGTTTTCTGTGTGTGTGTGTGTGTGTGTGTGTGTGTGTGTGTGTGTGTGTGTGTGTGTGTATGTGCATGTGTGTGTGCTGTGTTTTAATCCTTTGCATTTTTATTTTACGATTTTTTCTTTTTACTTCAAGGTATAATTGCAAACGATCCTGATGAAAACACACCGTTAATTGAACGTGAAGTTGCATACGTATCTCAAAATGAAAGCTCGCTATGTTGTTTTTGTTGTTGCCCAAATAAAAATACTTAGTTCCGGAATACTTAGCTCCGGTATACTTAGCTCCGAAATGCTTTTAATGCTATAAAGTTTTTTTATGCTTATTAAGATAAAATTTATATTAAAATAAAAATATATATTTTTATAACGCAATAACTTTAATATTCAAATTTAATTTTTAAAAACGGAACTGTACTCGATACATTTTTCCGTATTTTTACTTTATATTATTTTAGATAGTTGAACATTTTTTGATTACATAATTAACATAATTAGCGTTTTGCACACAAATAACAACTTGTATTTAACTTTTAACTAATTTTTAAATTTTGAATTCCTTTTCATAGAAGTTTTGTAGGAATTAATTAATCGAACAAATCTTTTAAATATTTAAAGACCAGATTAAGTTTTATCAAATCTTTTAACTTCTCTAAAGTTCTCGTCGTTTTTGTACGGGAACTAAAAAAGTAATTACGTGAGTATGCGCACTCAAGTTAGTTCACATCATGGAAGTATAGGGTTGCCAGGCGTCCGGCTATTACGGAGGAGAATACATCGCCAAACCTGTAAAAATAACTTTTTTTACTGTGCTCTTCTTCGTGAAAGCCAGACGTTTGGCAACCCTATGGAAGTAAAAAACAGATGGAAGTTCATCAAGCCGCAAACCTCAAAGCAATTTCAAGTCGTCTCGGGAGTATGCTTGTAAGCTTCAATAAAAAAAACAAAAAAAAAAACAAGTTTCATTGCACAAAAAACAACAAATTTCACTGAAATGATTTTTATTAAAACATCAAAAAATGAATTATTTTAGGGATATGCTGAAAAGTTTGAATCATTAGTAATTGCAATTATTCAGCAAAAGGTTTATTAAAACTCGGTAATTAAATAGAACCACTTGGTTTTAAAAGCATATGTTAATTTAAGCTTCTTTTCTTGCTAAGTCATAACACGACATTTAATTAAAAAGACAACTAAAACAATTTTTAAAAAATCAAAAAAATTGTTTTCTAAATGACCAAAGTTTAAAGTTTCATTTGTTGTATATCATAATTCCATTCATTTTTGTAATACCCCATTATCATTTAATATGAAGTTTATAAAAAAGTTGTTGTTTGCCGTTTTCGTTGCGCCATTTTTAATGTTTTTCTTTATTATTATTTAAAATACAACATTTTTAAATTATTATAAACATACCTATTTGCGTCAACGTATAAAGATTAAGCGTTTAAGTACAGTCTTGATGTAGTTTTCTTATTGTTTACGAAACAAAAGGTTACTTGCATAGTCCCGAAGAATTTCAATGCGGTTGAACTTCCATCTGTTTTATAATGCCATGCTCACATGTAGAGTTTCCAAAATACCGGAAAAATATAATACTGGTTTTCGGTTTTCAAAATAGTTCAATACCGGTATAAACCGGTATTGCATGGTATTTATAAAAAATATTAAAAAAGTTCAACTAAATCCTTAGAAAACATTATGAAAAGAAAAAAAAAAAAAAAGAAAGTAAAAGTTTACCCATATTTCCTTTTATATTTTATTTTATTTTACTTTTTAATATCTAAAAATTAAATTTATTATTTAAAATATCTTATCAAGCAGTAATAACTCAACAGTTTAACATTCCGGAAAAATAGTATTTTAGAAATAATCCATTTAATATATCAACATTCATTCGTCTTTGAAGCCTAGTTGAAAAGTTACCAGCAACCGAAAAAGTTTCTTGCTAGATGTTGACGTAGGCTGAATCGTTTTGAGAGCAGCATCAATCGAATTTAAATAAAATTCGATGTTCAAACTCCACTTGCTTCAAGCAGCTTGAACTCCCTTAATAAAATCTCTAAAAATGATTCAGAAAAACTAATATTAGGGTGGAAAGAAATCGTCTTTGTTAGGGATTGTTGCAGCTGTGTCTTAAGGTTATTATTGGCTCTTTCAGCAACTTCTTCATCTGATGATTCGACATTGACACTATCCAATTCTTTGGTAAATATTTTGTTTAACTATATTTTTTAAATATTGAATAGCTGCTGACTTTGATGAATTTTTAAACCCATCATTATTTTGTAACGTATTTAAATTTGGGGTTTTGCAAATATTTCATTAGTAACACTAAATCTTTGTTGCGTCGCTTATCGTATCGCTTTTTGAGGGAATTTAGTATATCTACACTTAAGTTAGACGTTTGTTCAGAAAGATTTTTGAACAAAAACATGTGAACACTTTCACTGGTCAGAATAGTTGAATTATCCTTACTTAGCTCATTAACAGCCAATTCAATAGGTTTTAACACTTATAAATTATCTTTTAAAACTTTAAAATTGATTTCCTTGTAACAACTATTTGTTGTTGTCCAAAACTGCATTTCAATGCATGGTTTTAATTTTACCAACATTTCAATCATAATAACAAAAGAGTTCAACCGACTTTTACTGTCAAGTTTTAATATCAGTTTTTTATTTTTTGTTCAAAAACATGTTTTTGCAATATGGAACTACGAACGCTCGACAATTTAAAAAATTTGTTGTGAAAGCATCACAGGAAGCACCGATTTTAACAAGACCCATTTTATAAGCAACTTTATTCTGAAGAGTTATATTTATATACCTTTTAATGGAGATTTTTCATTTAATTTTTTCAACTATTACATTACGACATTATTAGTTTTGCGATTGAAGTTTGGTTTTTTGGCATTTAGAAAACACGTTTCTGAATAAACTCACGTATTGCATTGGATTTTGTAATTGTTCTTTAAGACATGCCATCTTTTGCGGCACATTTTGGTAGCAGTTCAGCCAAGGTTTCACGTTTGAAGAATCCGTCTACTTTTATTTATTTTTTCTGCAACAGATGTTCCACCTAACTTCTAATTTTTATATTATACTATGGATAGTTCTCATGTAGGTAATCAGACCAGGTTTACTCGAACCTTTGCATTTTATGAAAGAATCGCACAAGGTACATTTTTCTTCACTAGTTGAATCGTATGATTTTCTGAAACACTTCCAGACAGAACACTTCCAGAGCATTGTTTGGGCATGTTTTTTTTTTTGTATTTGTATTTTATTGCTTATATATATAACGTAAAGTAAAATAAATATAACGCAAATAAAATTACATTACTTACTTGTATATCATTTTTAATATAAGTAGATATGTTAAATATTATAATTAAATGTATAATTTTTATAATGCCAAACAATTTATTGTTTGTTATATATAAACTATTATTATAAAAACTTAAGATAACGCAACAGCTATTATATACCTTCGTTCATGAACTTCTTCATGCGGAAATAATGTCCAAGGAATTTGTAGTGCAATCGTTAATACTTATCTAAATATAGTTATAGAAATTGTTCAAGGGGAATCGTAGTGCAATAATTTTAATACCAAAAAGTAACTATTTGTTAAAAAAATTTAACAAACTTGTGGTTTGCAGACAGCATAACAAAATGACTTCTATTTTTCGTCATTCATTTACAAAGTTCATTTACATTAGTGTACTGAGGCGCCGAGATGAAAGGGGGGGAGCAAAAGGTTTGTTGAAAATTGCGGTTTGTCCCGGGCGGCAGATATCCTAGGGGTGCCAAATGAAAAAAATGTATCCAAAAAAAGAAAAGAAAAGGTTCTTCATCTATAATACAGGGAAATTTTGATAAATAAGGGCGCTAATCAGGGTTGCTGTCACAGGCGGCATGACGGCTCTCGGATGTCCTGTTAATGCATGTTGCTATCTTTATTAAGTCAGGTTATTAAAATTTTAAAACCCGCAAAAAACGGTATTGGAAACAATTTCGATATTGGAAAATTTTAGTTAAATAACAGTTTTCAATACTGGTATTAAAAACCGTGAAAACTCTACTCGCATGGTTATTTTTTCCGTTCCCGTAGAATGAAGAATAAGTGGAAACTGATCTTTAAACGATCTATTAAAGGTCAGTTTTCATTTTTTTTCCATCACAGATTTCCACATAAATTGATAAAGTTTTTATGTATCTGCAGGTATATAATAATTTAAATAGTTGCAGAAGAGTGATTCTGGTGCGTTTTTTTATGCGAATTGAATAAGTTTATAACTCGGTTATTTTTGAATGAAACCTTTTAGTATATTCTTATTTTGATTTTCAAAAAACTAGTTAATTTTAATTCAGTACTTGCAATATTTACAAGGCTAAGTAACGAGTTTACAAAGAACCAGGGGTGTATTCTTGGGAAATAATTTAATAATATTTTGAAAATAATTTTTTTTGTATACCTGTATATTTAACACAGCATGTTGTTTGAAAAAAAGGAAGTAATCTAGCAATAATATTTATTAAAATCGTAAGTTGCGAATTTTAAATCGATCTGTTGGATACCAATAAATCACGTTATTTCAATGTTACATAGCATAAGAGAATAAAAGACTGACATTCAAAGAAAAATTAACTGAAAATGACTTTTAGGCTTACCACCCCACAATAAAAAGAAAAAAAACTGAAAAACTACCCTTTAGTAGATGGTCTCGGGAGGCTGAATAAACGAACTGGCATTAATGCGAATTAGCATTAGTGCGTTGAATAAAGTTGTAAATATTAAAATATCTTTAAATTGACATTTCGCATAAGTGCAAAGCAGTTTTTGAAACTACTGTGCACTTATGTCAGTTCACACTTATGCAAGTTGGCACTTACGCCATTCGCACTTATGCCAGTTCATACTTTTGAAATTCGCGCTTATTCAGTTGTCCCGATAATCTAGATCTAAAAAAACAAAAAATAGCCACTACCTTTCTTACTAGATAGTCTGGATCCAGCCCAACAAGAAACAGCTCTACGTGACCTAATGGGAGAGATAGAATTGCTCTCGTAAACTTGTCACTTAACACAAAACGCTCAAGTACGTTCGACGAAAGTTGCGAACGTTCGAGCAGGTTCTATGAATGTTCTTGAATGTTCGTAACGTTCGTTGAACGTTTTGTGTTAGCTGGGTAGTCAACTGAAAGTTAATCAAGATATTAATTTTCAGCATTACAACTCAAGTAAATTCAAAAAATCCATTTTGTAAATTTTTTACATGTACTTGCGGTAGTGGTGTAGTGGTAGAGCGCTCGCCTCATAAGCGAGAAATTCCGAGTTCGATCCCCGCCACATCCCTGGTAGTACCGCGCTCAACTTGTTTCTTCGCGCAGTGGCCTTATTTTCCGAGGTTCGTGTTTCGGAGTTATAGAGTTGAGAGAGGGTTGTAACCAC